AATGATGCCTTTGCAGGATGCAGTTCGTTGGCAAGTGTGACCATCCCCAACTCAGTGACCCAGATTGGGGAAAGAGCCTTTGCATCGTGCACCTCCTTGGCTAGTGTGACCGTTCCGGACTCAGTGACCGAGATTGGGGTAGGAGCCTTTGCGGAATGCAGCTCGTTGGCAAGTGTGACCATCCCCGATTCAGTGACCCAGATTGGGGATGGAGCCTTTGAAGAATGCAATGCTTTGACCCTGGTCTTGCCCATCACCCAGATCAGGTTGGGGGAAGAGGCTTTCAGTGGCTGCAAACAGATTCTCGCCAAAGAATTCGAAGGAATGTGAATGTCGAAATGTCAAAAAAATGGGTTCAGGATGGCTGGGTGTGCCCTCGACGCTGGCAATCTTCACATCGCCGCCATGGTTGCGGTCACTCTCCAGGGCCTCGCCGAGGCATCCGCTGAAAAGCCGCCCAAGCGCTCCGCTCGGCAAAAGGCAGTTGGCGAGCTTGGTGGCTGGCGACAAAGTAAGATATAAGTGTACTAGTAGTAGCTCCTTCTTACTAAATAGCGATGGCCTCCAACCTACTGACGATGGCCTCCACCTAGTAGCTAAGCTTCTTGTTCCTATACTACCCAGACGCGACCCTGGAGCCTCAAAACCGAGGGGTCTGGGATCGAACCCGCAAAGCCGCTTGACGCGGTCTTTTTCTCTCTCCAAAAAAAAGGGGCTTCGAACGTACACTTCATGATTTGTGCACGAACCCTTCTAAGTTCAAACTTGGTACACTTCTTGATTTGTGCATTTCTGCACCGGCACTCCCCCTCCGTCGCTCCAACGGATCTCGGTGCCGAGGCGAAAACATTCAAAATCCCTCTTTCGAGGGTCTGCTCAAACCCCTTTCTCTTGTGGGCCTACGGGGTCACAAAAAGGGTGTACCCCGTCCAGCCGTAGGGCAAATGCGTCGACCTACGTCCCTCTCTCAGGTCGCCGACCACCATCTTCTTTCGCCCCACAGCCGCCCAAGCGATCGTTAGCCTCCACTGACTCCAGGTTTCCTCCCACAGGTAATCCCCGTGAAGTCATACTTCTGCCTCCTGGAGTTGGGATGCTCTCGAATCGCCACCCTCTTCCGTCAGCATTGGTCCTGACCCCCACCCAGCCATCTTTCCGGGTGTTTTGATGCGGCGGCTTGTTCACCTCGTCCTTGATCCCACCCGAGAGGAACACCTTCTGGAAGGACGGGAGAGCCTCAGGAACTCCTCCATCGTGCTTCCTTCGCTGATTTCCCAGACTCCCAGCTGCATGCCTTCCGGGGTGCCCGCCATCAGCAGCTCGAAGGTCCTTCTGTCCTCCTGTGCCTCCTTCGAGGCCTTGGTTTCTGGCGGGGGTTTGATCACTTCCTCAAACACTTCCTCGCTCCCAGCCGGTCTGGCCCTCCACTCTTCTGCGCTTCTGGTAGTGGCCAATGTCCCGGTTGATGGTTCTCTTCGACTTCGATTCGGGTCCACCCCAACGATTCGGACCCCTGCCCCATCCATCGCCACCCAAGTGCCTCCATAGTCTGGTCAAGGTCCTCGTTCAGCCATGATCATTCCGAGGCTCTCCCTTCGCTCCTTCTCCCTCTCAAAGTTGTAGGGTTCACGATGGCATAGGTCCGGATCGTGGCCATGGCAATGTCGGAGTTTGTGTACTGGCTTCCTCGACGATCTTATTCTTCTTCCTCCCTCCTGGGACTTGAAGAGCTCGGATCGAGATTCTCTACTTCTAGTGCCTAGTTCCTGCCTCTAGTACAAGGGGTCATCAGGCTCTGCCCATGGATACAGCTCCTCATGAGCTGAATATCCGAAGCCTCGGCTGCCCCTCGAAGTCTCATTCAACTCGGTCACGCAGTTCACCTCCAGCTCCAGTATCCTCTCGATGACTACTCTGTCCCTTAGAGGTCGACATCCGAGTGATTTCGAAGTAGTACTTTCACCTCTCCTCACAAGTCCCTGTCCACCACTCCAGCTCCAGTCTCTATACCCCTGATCGCCAATGAGGACCGTGGAGCGATGCGACCATAGCTGCCAGGTGGAATCTCCAGGGCGATTCCGGTCTTCACCAAGACGCTGTCTCCAGGCGGCACCATAGTCTCGATAGTGGAGTAGAGATCCAAGCCGGCTGCATGCTCTGATCCTCGAGTTGGAATCTTGGCCTCAGGCGACAGAAGCTTTACCTTCAGTTCCTCCTTCGCTGAAAACAATCTTTTCATCCCGGCCGCGCCGATCCTAAACACCAAGTCGCCGATGACCGCAGTGGCCGCAGTGATCAACACCAAGATCCACCACTCACTGCTTCCTCCCTCCGCCTGGGCACCAGCAGCTTCTGCGCAGGTGAACATGCTGGCTGCTGCCACTAGGATTCCAAGTCCCTTTGACAGCCTTGGATCTGGGATGCCTCTTCCAATCTCAATCTTTTTCATCTCAATCCCAACGTGCTCGTCGATCTTGGCGATGCCCAGCGACTTCTTATAGTTCTTCAACGCCTGCCCGGTCAGCTGCTTGGTCATTCCATCTGCAACCAGCTCTGTGCCTGCTACGTGACTCAAGGAGACCTCCTTGTTCCTCAATGCCTCAGTCAAGCCAGCTGCACGGATCCTCAGGTGTCTCGTCCTCCACGATGACGTTGTCCCTGCAGCAGTCGAGTCAGAGTGAAGTCGAAGTTCTGCCCTTCCTCCAAGCACTGCCTCGACCAGGGACCCAATCGATCTCGCAGTGACCAGGCTCTCAAGTAAAGACATCAGCTCCGCCTCCGCCGTAGAGAGGGTGATGAAAACCTGCCTCGAGGTCTGCCACATGATCGGGGTGCCATCTACCACAATTCCCGAGAGACTTTTGAGATCTGATGAAGCGTAAGATGCATCCGAGAACACATCCACCGCCATCAGCCTTCCCCGGATGGTCTCACCCTCCTTCAGTCCTTGGATGAAGAGTCCCTCGTCTCTGGTCTCCCTCAAGTAGGCTCTCACCTGCTTCCCTATAGCAGCAACTCCTCTTGGCCTTTTCGTCGCCCACTGACACATGGTGTTGACCGCAAGACTGATGTCCGGCCTGGTTCTTCCGGCCACCCACAAGAGTTCCCCTGTCTCTTTCTGTGCCTGTGCGACGTCCTCAGGCCCCGGAGCTTCTTCATGTTCTGCAGGAGTCTTGATCTGACTCAGTGCGGCTCGACCATGTTCATCGTACTCCAGGAAGAGGTTCTCCAAATAGGCCCTCTGATGAAGCAGGAAATCCTTCCCTCTCTGCCCAGGAACCGAACTGGTTCACCCCCCTCTTGAATCCAAGATGGTTCACCGATCTTCCAACTCTCTCTGATCTTTCGATGGATTCCTTCAGCCACCGGTAGATCTCCAGCAATGATGATGTCATCCACGTAGGTGGCGCACAACCCCACCAGGCACCACTCTCGTTCTCCTGCACCACGGCCCTGAATCGCCCACATGTCATCCTGGGCCGTTTTCTCAACCTTCTCGTTCCAGCTGAACTCAGTGAAGCACCGGTCCCGATGAAGACACCAATCCTTAAGTGATGTAGCCAGGCCATACAGTGCCTTGTGGACCAACCATAGCTCATGGGCTGTTGAAGGACCTGAGCTTCTCTAAATATACGAGGTGGATCCACGACGACAACCCCCCGGTCGGCTGACTCATTCACTGGGGCATTCAAAAAGGCTGTCTTCACATCCACCGTGGAGACGGTCCATCCATAGGTAGCTGCGGTCTTCAAAAGGAGTCGCGCTTCGCATCCTCCAGCTCCCGATGCAAAGGTGCTCTCATCACTCTTCGCCCTCGCAAAGTTTCCGCAGGCTACCCCTCTACACTTGTGTCTTCCTGAACCGGCTTTCCGGCTGAAGATCGCTTTCGCGGGAACCAGATCGAGCCTCAGTGGTCTCCTTCTTCAAGTCCTCGATCCATCTTCTTTCTGTCGATGGGTTCCACGGCCTCTGATTCGACCACCAGTGCTGCATACTCCTCGAGCGGTGCCAATTCGTGTTCCAGCCCATGACTCAAGCTGTCGCCGGAGCCTGCACTCTGCCCAGTGTCTTGAGGCGTGACACCAATAGCTCTCGTCGAGGCCCGCTTCCAAGCACCTCGCTTCACTTGTGCTATCGCTCCTTCCGCCCTACCGTTGCCGCGGAAGTTGTCACCATCAGTGTAGGTCCGGAGCAGTCCTCGATCTCGACACCACCGGTCAAACATCTTGGACATGGAATTCACCAGCGCGATCTGAGTGAAGCCGCATCAATGGCAGGCCCAGGAACACCAGCTTGGCTAACTCTGGCCACCCAGGCCTCTTCTTCATTCAAGCCCGGCCACCTTTCCCCAATGACCTCCTCGGTGCCGATCTCCTCCACCACTGTCAGCTCCGGTCCATCTCCAATCGCGCCCGGCAACTCCTCTTCCTCATTGATCGGGATGAGAGACTGACCCTCCTTCGTCACTGGAGCCAAGTACACCCCCACAAGCAGATACCGGCCCTTTCCCAGCTGGTCCTCTGCCAATTCGAACGGTCCTGCCGCGTCTATTGTTAGGGTGAATGCATCTGGATGTGGAATTTTTCTGTGAGCCCGACCTCGCGAAGCAGCCACTACGCAGGATCTACACTCCCTGCTGTATGGGATGTGGCCCATCCTTCGATGTCCATCTTCTTTAGTAGCTGGGAGCATGTACTTCAGCTCCTCCCGGACTGCGACCACCAACGCGGCCTTAAGCCCCGGCGCCCAGGATGCCCAGGATCTCGATCTCGCAATTCTTTCTCGCATGGTGTCCCCTTGGGGTTCTTCCCCTCCGCATCCAGGGCCTCTCATCCCCTCCAGTTCCCGGAGTCGCTGGAGGTTCGTTCCCAGCCTGGTCGGCTTTCGCCTTGGATGTCCCATTGCACCATGCTTCGCTCAATCTCCGTGATCAGCTCCCTGCCAAGCTCTTCAGTCCAGCAATGCCCCACTCGGGCCGGTCAAGGTGAACCTGTCCTGCTCCCAAGATGCCTCATAGCCCAGCAAGATCAGCGCCCCCATGGTGGGACAATCGTCTGCGTCTCATTCAGCGTGAGTAGTGTCCTTGTCCAGGGAAGTTGCCTCAGAGTAACTGAACCCTCTGCTAACTCCACTCGTACCTCTTGAGCTCTCTTCCACTCTTCCTCTGATTCTGCAGTCCGCAAACAGTGTGTTGCTCCGCCGTCCAATAGTGCACGGTCATTTGTTCGCACCTCCAGACTGCTCAGTTTGATGGTCTTCATGGCTGGAGATGGGCGGAGACTCTTCAGCAGCGTTGTCGCCTCATTCAAGAGATCCTTCATCTCCCCCGAAGCGCCCGCACCCTTGTCACCCTCATTGGTGGCTGCAACTTCAACGGAGTCACTCCCCCCAGTCTTCGGAATCGGATCGGTCGCGTCCCCCTTGCCAGTGCCAGCGGAGCTCTTCTCCTTGATGAACTTCACTGCACTCTTCTCCGGGAAATCCTTCTTGGAGTGTCCCGTAGCTGAACAGCCGAAGCAGCGTCCCTTCTTTTCAATGCCACCCCAGTCGTGTTTGAACTTGCAGTCCTGCCCCTTCCGGCATCCATCCTCCGAACCCCAGAACCGACAAGCCTTTTCCTCCCGTGGTCCCTCGGTCTTCGACTTTCCAGCTCCCTTCTCGGCCTTTTCCTCCGGGAGAGTAGACATCGCCTTGACCTTGGCGGGCTGTGGTTGGATCTCGCTGATAGCCGCTAGCCAGTGACTCCGCTTCGCGTCACATCAACTCCCAAGGCCACCCTTGTCGAAGAGGTCCTGAATCCGATCCAGTGCCCCCAAGTCTAGAAGTGTAGAGTCTGGGGTCGCAATCTCCAGCTCTTGAGCTCTCCTCAGACTCCTCCTCCAGCCTCTCAGTAGTTCCACTGTCTCATTGAGACTCTGCGGAGCCTTGGGCTCAACCAGTTGTCGAAGAAGTCGAGATCGCTCTGCCAATCCTCCCGGCTGGTACCTCCGGAACTCGATGCTCGGTTGGCCAGGATCTCGGAGCGGATCGGATTGGGCACTGCGTTGAGCAGCATCAACTGCCCCCTCTGCTCCAGTCTGTTTCAGACAGTGCCGCACTCCATCGGGACCTGTGTCTTGATATGCAACCGCTGAACCGGTTCTGCCCAAAGCCATTCCCGGTAGGCTGTCATGGCCTATGATCAGTTTCGTTTGGTAGCCCAGGTGGATAGTAAGGCCCTGTTGCAAGCAGGTTGGAGTGTGCGTGAGGGATGTCACCTACCAACGTTCACCACATCGAGGCCACGGAACACTCCTGGGCGCAGACCCGCGGGAGTAGAGCAGTGTCAGGCCCATGAACAGCAAAGATGGTATGAAGACTTCTACCGGTTCCCACCGTACCAGTACAGTAGTACTGAGATCCCGCATCGTGGGTGAGATAAGCTGGATCCAGTCACCCAGAATCAGCGAACCAAGTTCCCCTTCTCGAAGATCCGGCAAGGGCGGCAGCTCCACCGAGCGAATTGCTTCACCCCAGTTCCCTTCTGTGGCACCCGATCCAAGCCAAAGGCGATCCCTTACCCAGATCGCCATTCCTCACAGCGCAGTCTGGTAGTCCTCCACGTCCAGGTCCAAGCCCTGTGGTGCCTCAGGTTCACCCCGACGTTCAGCACCTGGCCTGGGAACTCTGGCATCGCTCCCAAGGCAGCCATACTTGCCAGCCTCCGGCGTAGCAGGCGGCGGACCTGACGGCGGACTCGGTGGAGGGGTCGTAGATGGAGGCTTTGGTCGATCCACCTCCTTGAAATCCCGGTCCTTCTCCTTGTTGGAGTCCTCAATCTGTTTCTTCAGGTCAGCCAACTCCCTCTTGAGCATCGAATTCTGAGACATGATCATCTTGATGACTTCTCTCATGTCCATCCCTGTGTCCTCCACCATGGATGGCTCCGCAGCGGTGGATGCCATAGGTGCCGATGGCAGTGAAGCCGGGCGCATTGCTCGCAACATCACCTCGTCCTTCAATGTCTGGCTCCAGAACGAGTTGACCTCCACAGATGGGGCGGTGCCCTGCCCCTTCCCATCTTTCTTCCTCGACTCTTCCCGCTTCCGCTGGGGCGCGTGCACTGTAGGTCTCCCCGATGGCACAGCTGGGATCAATTCCAGGCTCGAGGATTCCTTGTCCATCAGGGCCAGCTGCTCATCCTCTCGAGCGCTTGCCATCGAGTCCCCAGATCCATCCGAGGTTCCACCGCTAGCCATGGCGGCCAACGACACCTCAAAAAAGAGGTGGTGGTCTTTCTACACGCGGTTTGGGCTCATAACCCGCAAAGCCGCTTGACGCGGTCTTTTTTTCTCTCTCTGTCTCTCCAAAAAAAAGGGGCTTCGAACGTACACTTCATGATTTGTGCACGAACCCTTCTAAGTTCAAACTTGGTACACTTCTTGATTTGTGCATTTCTGCACCGGCAGAACCAATCCCTAGGTTTTGAGGGACCAGTCGGGGTTCGTTCACGGAGCGGATCTCGGGACACCGGATCCCTGGCCCGACTCCGTGGCCCGACCGTGGGACGACGGTCTCCAGGTCGGTGGTGACGGTCTTGGAGCGCCAGGAGAGGGTGGTGGGGCGGTGGGGCGGGCTTCGGCCATCGGCCATTGGCTCGGCCGGGCTCGGTTCGGTTTCGGAGAGAGAGATGAGGTTCGGTTCGGTTCGAACGCATGTTGCAAGAAAGGTCGACCTGGAACCTGTGAGGGAGCCCTGTTGAGGATCGACATGGGTCAACTATCCCAAAATAGTGGGCAAACTAGTGGCCAAACTTCTTATCAAACAGGAGAACAGGAGGATAACAGGGAGTCAGTTCGTACATCTATCAAAACGTAAGGGGTCATGTTTTGACCCGACATGTCGGGTCAGACAGGCTCCACCTCTTCCAGTCCATCCTCGGTCTTTTCACCCGGCGGACGCTCGTCCACGGCCCGCCCGCCGCAAGCCTTTCCTGTCGTCGTCAGGAGGATTGGATCCCCGCACAGGCCTGCGATTTGCTCTTGCCGCTTGGGCGGGCGATGGCCGAAACCACGGCGAAACACGGCGCCAGGGCCACCGCGATGGCCGTTTGCTTCGCTTGGAGACGGATCGTGGTTCAAGTGTTTGAGGAACGTTCTTTCGCTTTCGTGGGTGCTAAATGCTGCTGAGCCATGCTGAGGCATCTCTTTTTTGCGGGTGAGTAGATGGAAGTCTCAGCCTGAAAGGGCACAAGCAGTCATGGAAACACCATGAAACACACTGTTGATGTATGATATGCCAAATGGTTCCATATATGGCCTTGAGTTGCTGAGGGTCGTCCTCTGTGGTCGTTTTGGTTGGACTGTCTGTGGGTTTTCGTTTTCGTTCTTTCGTTTCTGAATGCCCCTGGGACACATCTCTTCCAGCTGTTCGTTCCGCCTTATTATTTTTTTCGGGGCGAACAAAGCTCCACAACTCCTCTTCCCCGCCTTTCTGGAAACATCGAGCTCCGGACGCCCCGACCGGACTGGACCACAGGTTCTCGGCCCACGACCCCACAGACCCACGGCCCGACACACCCGGCCCGTCACGCACCGCCCCCACCGGTCGACCCACGTGGCTCGGGGCGTCCAACCGGGTGCCGAGGACCCACTTCCGCAAGTGCCTCGGCGGAGTGGATCCGGTGGGAGCGAACGGAGATGGGGGAGACGCCTACAGAGGTGGACAGTGACCTGAACTAGGACCCTACAGGGGTACCTATAGGATAGTCTATAGGGTTCTTCAACCTCTGGCGCGGTGGAGATGGGGGAGATGGTGGAGGGTTTTTCCAACCGGAGACGAGTTCTCCGTGGCATGGGTGGAGTTCCGAACCGACGTCCACGAGCGAAGGAAGTCGATGTCAATTCAGTCCGATTTCTTATCTTAACGTCCTACTGTGCCAGAAGCCGAATCCAACGTCCGTTCTCTGAGAATGTCACGTCTTCATAGTTCTCGGCGACAGGTGACTCTGTTCTCCCCTCCGCCGGAGGCGAAAGAAGACGACGATTGGAGGGATGTGGACCCTTTCCGCCGGTGTGTTTCGTTCTGGTGTCTTCCCTCGCGGGGCGGGGCGGCTGGGATATAGGTGAATATGAGCCATAAGGTGATAGGGTGAAGAGGTGAGGTCTGAGAGTATTCCAGGGGTCACAAAGGGGTGGTGTTTAGTCCCCAAGTGAGTGGATAATGGGCCTAACCTCCATGGATAGCACCCCTTTGTGACTCCTGGTTCATGTTGATTTCGTTCTCTCAGACCTCTTCACCTCTCTGAAACCTTCTCTGAAACGGCCGCCGTGTTCATACGGCGCGGGGCTCCCGTCGTCGTCCGGTCGTCCAATCGTCGGTTCCTCGACCACCGGAGCCATCGGAGATGGAGCTGCAAACACCGGACGACCAGGTTGAAGGGAAAAGGTTTGGAGGGTTCAGGTTGGAACGGACCCTTGTCACTTTCTCTCTTTCTTTTTTTTTGAAGTTCAGCTTTAGAATTCACCTTCACCTGGATCTCGATAGAAATGAAGAACTGCATCCTTTGGCAGCTTGGAGATTGGAAGGCCTTTTCGGTCGCCTCGCGCGCTTTCGCCTTCTGGTTCGGAACGGGCGTTCCGCAGAAGGCGTGACTCGGTGAACGAGAGAGCAGCTGCCAAACTGACGTCCACCACCCTTGGTCCAACTGATTCAACTGTAAGAACTTGACAGTCGACGTAATTAGCCGTTGGTCATGAAGGTACATGTATTTTCTGATACCGACGTCGACCATTTTTAAAATGGTTGATCTGGTTTTGTAGTGTAAAACCCCTTAGTAAAACCATGGTGCTTCGCCCTTCGAGACGGAGGCGGTGGCGTCATCACCGACTGCCTGGGCGGCTGTTCCGACCCACGTGGATGACATGCTTCTTCAACCAACCGCTAATGTGGTGGTGGACATGATACTCCTTTGGAAAGGCTATGATGTTCACTGAAAGATGCCGACTGAGCCAGAGAAACAAGAGCAGCAAGTTTAAGATGAAAGAACTCAGGTCAAAGGAATCAGATGAAAGAACTCTCCAAACAAGTTCCACTCCACTTCTCTGGCACATTCTGCTTATACAGGTGTCCTTTTTCCCTGAACATCTCCACCCGGCACCGGCGCCTCCGCCATGGCGGCGCACCTCGCCCTCCCCCTCGCCGCGCCGCACGTGGTCGCACCGGTGTGGCCCCATCCCGCGGGACACCACGTCCAGGCGAGGCGAGACGGGACGCGGAATTCGCAGACACACCAAGGACACCGCAGACGGTGCTCACCCAGGTCTTGGATGCTTTAGAAATGGGCGGAGGGGAGGGAAAGAACATCACATGGGTTGGATCGATGGATTCACTTCTTGTTGCGGTCCGGTAGTTTGCTCTATTGCTCTCGTCGGCACGGTTGTCGTAGGCAACCCGTCCTCGTGCTGCATGGCGTGGACGTTTTTTTGGAAGATTTTCGCGTCCAACCTGACTCTGGCCGAGACACAGACAACTACATAGTACAAGATGATCAGCAAAGGTTTTCCCATGCTTTTCCTCATTGACTCATGCTTTTGTGCAGAAAAGCCTGTACGGAGCGAAGAAGCAAGGCACATAGCACATGGCGCAAGTGGATTTTTTAGAAGTGTACAGACCTATGATCTCAAGCAGGAATGCTTGGAGGATTGAACGTCACGCTGCACGCTGCGCGTCACGTGTTTCTTTCCCTTTGACCTTCGACCGCTCTGCGCGGCTGCTCCGTTTCCAGGCGGTGAGCGGCCGCTCCGTCGGCTCCGTCGGCAGCTCCTTCCGCACCGCAGGAGGAGCGGCGCTCGGAGCCGCGATGCGGGTGGGGTCTGGTGTATGGGGTGGGTGTCGGACCTCTTCAGGTCGTCTCCAGGCGAGAAGGTCACCTCCACCTGACGGGTCGTGGTGTGGAGACGGAACAGAGGTGGAGGGCGAGGTCGCGGACCGTCTCAGTGGAGCAAAGAAACGGAGCGCGGAAGATCGGAAGATCGGCATTGGAACCATATACACTCTGATGAACACATCACATGGAAGTGGATGGCGCCCCTGTGAAGACCAGTTTCCTCTAGAAACAGGTGGTTTTTCTATTTCCATGCTAGTCGGAGTGTAATCGGACCGTATAATTAACATATACCAGTCGACCATTCTTAAAACGGTCTGACGAACGGTGATCCGAGTCCAATGTCCTTTACTTGGGTGGTTCCGAAAAATCGTCTTTGGCCTTCCAGGGGGCATATCTTAGTTTTGTATCATCGGAACTTGCAAAATCCAAATTGTGCACTTTGACAATTTGACTTTGAGTCCTTGACCTTTGCTGCCTGGTGTTTCCTCGAAATCCGAAGATGTCGAGAGCCCAATTAGGTGACACCAACACCGTCGTCGCTCGACCTCCACGACCGGCTCGCGCGGCGAGCTGCGAGCTGCGAGCTTCACCGAGACAAGGGGCTCCGATCTGTGAAATGCCCCTTGTTATTAGAAGGTTCTTGTTACTAGTAGTAAGGCCAGGAGCCCCGTTCGTAGCGTCCTTGCTCCTAGCGATGCCAGGAGCCCCTAGTAGCTTCTTGTTCCTAGAAGGTTCCTGGATCCTAGCAGAAATGCCCTTTGTTAGTAGCTTCTATTCTTGTTAATTAGTAGTAAGGCCAGGAGCGCCCCGTTCGGTTCGCGTCCGAACACACGCTCCGCTTCGGTTTCGCGATGCCCCGAACGTGAAAAAACGTTCGTAGCGATTCAGTTGGCCGAGCAGTTGGGCACTTCTGGATTCTGGCAGAAATGTATGCGAGAGCAGACGGAGTTGACAGATCAGGTGAAGCTCACGTTCCCTGAAAAAGCCTGCAGCTGGTGGTGATGAACCGTTTGAAACCAGAGAAAAGCCAGCATGTTCCCTGAATTTTCCAGAAGAACTCGAAGCTCTACTGCAAAGACCCTACTGTCCAGATGTCACTGCAAGTGGCGTGACAAGTCTGCATGTTGCAGTTTTGGCCTGCCATGCAGAATGTGCGCGTTTGCTCATTGAGGTGGATCGAGAACACCTGCATGACCAAACGGCTTTGCACATGGCGGCACAGAAAGACCACCTGGAACTGGTGCGCCACTAGAGGCTCATGACAGGCCTGACAGGCCTAGTATGCTTCTAGCTGACCTTGACCAGCCCACCAAGTTGGGGGAAACGGCTTGGCAACTCGCAAGCATGAATGGCCACTCCTCAGTGGCGCACTTCTTGGTGCAGGCGGGTGCTACACCAGGCAGAATGGCTTTCCAGTTTGGATTTAACGAAAGTCATGGCGCGGCGGTGTTCAGCTTCCAGATGCATGATAGCATAGTGATATAGTGACACTAGCAGCCACTGAAAATCAGACATCCGATGGAAGCATTCCAAGATTCCCAAAGCCATCATACGTTGGGAGTTCATTCTTTTTGACAGTTGTTATCCTCAAATTCAATTCAATCCGACCCCCCAAAACGGTGGCATGTCTTATTCATGTAGAACTTGCCGCTGGCAATTAGGGGCCTGAAGTTTCGCCCCAACGACGAGAGCACCGTCAGAAAGTGAAAAAGGCATGTTCAAGAAAGACCAACCCAACTTGCTTTGTTTTGACCAGCCATGGAAATCACCGGTTTCGATGAGTTGGATTTGATGGAAATCACGTCTCGTCGCTCTTCGCTCGTCATTTCCTGCAGGAGCTGCTGGCCTTCTCGCACTGCTGGCGCCGACGTCGCGACGGCGTCCTCCGCGCACGGCACGGCGGGTGGTGAAGTACTCGGAGATTCGCCCGGAGATCTATCGAAGCTTGGCGACCGAAGGAGGCTCGGAAGGATGAGGCTTGGTTCAGGGGGGAGACATACATTAGAATTACGTGATGTTCTTTTGGATTCTCACGAAACGCCGTATCCACGAAACGCCCTGGCTCAAGCCGGCAAAAAAAGGACATCCGAAAGAAGGGATAAGGTGCCTCAAAGCCAAGCTAAATGTTCGATGACATCACAAAAAGCACCCAGCTGTTGCCATGTGTTTGTTGGAAAATTTTCACCTTTGTTTCAGAATGTTTACCGTTTTCCTCAAAAGGTCTTCCCAGGTGATTGCTGCAACAAGCTTGAAACTGGGACCAAGGGTCTTACTTTCAGACCTTGGTCAAAACATTTGGACATGGACCTGCTTGGATCTACTTCTTGGAGAAAGCAGAGAAATCGACTTCATCAATTTGAGTCAAGACGGCTCTTTCATATGTAAACTCCTCAGATTCCTCGACGTTGAACCTGCCCAGTTCCAAAACTAGACCGACTAGACCTTGGCAGCTGGGCTAGTTCACGCCGGATCCAAGAAAACACCTTCAAGTTGCCGTTCTTCACCGGATCCCCCCGGTCCTTCGGCCCGAACCCCCAAAAAAACCACCGCACGCCCCCCCCCCCCCCGGAGCCCCCGCGCGAGCGTGCGACCGGAGTGTGCGAGGAATCGGAGAGCCCCAGCGTGCTTTCTTCTACAGCCTCTTGGGCTCAGCGGTCGAACGTGGCGAGTGACTCCCAGCGGTCTCCGGCCGCTCACAGGTCTCCGGGAGGTCTCCGGGAGGTCTCCTGAGGTGGTCGTCCTTCGTCTCAGAACGGTGGACGTTTTCATCTCCCATGGAATCTGAACTGAGCGAACGAACACATCTGAGGTTGGTCCAACTCGGTGATGCCCAGTCGAATTCGGAATTGAGCGGTCACCTCTTCATTTGAAGGTGCTTCTCCAATCTCAGACGGATCCCTGAGAGTCAAAGACTATAAAAAGAATGGTCTTTAGGGGACCTGAAAGGGAACTTCCTTTACTTCAGCCGGTCAAAATATAGTCTTTGGACTTCTAGGGGGATTGTAGGTGGAGGCTGATGGAGGATCATCCAAGGGATCTGCGGGCAGTGGGTTTTGCGCACAACAAAACCAATCACCAAGCGAGATGACTTGGGAAAGCGAAGGTGGGCGTTACGGGGGTTCATGGCATCTTTTCGTTCTCAATGCATACAGATACAGATACTATATAGGGTTTTTCCCAATCTTTTCCTCCTCAGAGT